CCATCAACAGCCTGCATGGCAGCCAAACCATGCCGGTAAGTGCCAGGCTCTCACCCTGCCCGGTTCGACCCCATGCTGCCTACGTAATCCAATCACCAGCTAATTTGATCCTCTGTCTAATTGGATCAAAATCCTACAGACCAGTATTTTGATGGCTAGATCACCCTGAGGTTCTTCTTTGCCTGGGAGCTGAGCCCCGGGGGTGGGTGTGCAGGGCTAATTCCCTCGTGCTGGAGAAAGGGGCTGTTTAATTAATGCCGAAGGTCAAAATTGTGAATGAGGAGGGGAAACAGGAAACAGAGGTCAGGGAGCTGCCGCCGGGGAGAAAAAAACGGCTATAATTAAACCTTGCATCGATCGCTGGTTGCTGCTGCCAAGCCAGCCAGCATCCCTGGGGCCGAGGATGCTGTGGCCGCTGCGAGCCAGCGGATCCCTCCCTAGAGCAGGGAGACATTTCAGGGGCGTTGCCGGGGTCCCGCCGTCAACCCATCTTCCCCCCATCTCAGGGCGCCTCGTCCAGCCTGGTGGTGAAGTTTGCGGACACAGATAAGGAGAGGACCCTGCGGCGGATGCATCAGATGGCAGGGCAGCTGGGCATCTTCAACCCCATGACCATCCAGTTCGGCGCCTACGGGGCCTATACGCAAGCGGTAGGAGCTGGCGCCATCCGGGACCTGGGGGTTTTTGGGGAGCCCCTTGGGTGGGGAGGGGGCTGGTTTTGCCTGTAACAGCCTGCGTGGGATTGTACCAGTGCCAGTGGGTGCGGATGCCCATCAGGGTTGGGGTATCCCCATTTAGGGGCACAGCAGAAGGCTTCACCCCCCTGGATGAGGGTGGCATGGCTGTGGGGCAGAGCGGTCCCATATATCACCTTTTTTAGCATCACCGAGACCTCCTCTTGTCCTCGAGTCCAGCAGTGGGTGACATTTATTCTTCTGAGCTGCTGTGCATGAGTGCAAAGGGCAGATGCTGATTTATCCTCCCCTGCTCCCTTCTTCTCTCTGCCCCTCGTTCACTGTCCCCTTTCCCCCCCTTCCTTTTCTTCAGATCATGCAGCAGCAGGCGGCTCTCATGGCAGCCGCGCAGGGGACCTGCCTGAACCCCATGGCCGCCATTGCCGCCGCCCAGATGCAGCAAATGGCCGCCTTCAACGTCAGCGGACTGGTGGCCGCCCCCCTCACCCCCTCTTCAGGTACGACCCCCTTCCATTTGCCTCCCCATTCTGCTCAGCATCCTCAGGGGGTGCTGCCGGCGCTGATGCCTCCCTCCTGCAGGTACAAGCACCCCCCCTGGCATCAGCACGGCGCCCGTGCCCAGCATCGCCACACCGATCGGGGTGAACGGCTTCAGCCCGCTGCCGCCACAGACCAACGGGCAGCCCGCCTCGGAGACCATCTACACCAACGGCATCCACCCCTACCCAGGTAACCCTCCTCGCAGCCTGCCGGGGAGCTCCACCACGTTCCCCTGGGGCTGGGGACGCGTGCTCGGCTCACGTGGCAGGCTCCAGGGGTGCTCCCCACCCCAGGAGCACTTGGAGGAACCAGCTGTGTACCGATCCCCGCCGAAATCCCACCTCACGTGGCATCGCCGCCTTTGCGAGCGGGGCGATGCTCTCAGCTCCTATGAAGCGGCAGGGAGCAGCTCTGCCCCTCCGCAACGGTGCTTGGCCAAGAGCCCTCTCCCATGGGAGCTGCTTGTCCCCGGCTTTCTCTTGCTTATTCTCTCTGCCTTTTCTCTTCTTTTCTCTTCCCAGCTCAAAGCCCCACGGTGGCAGATCCCCTCCAGCAAGCCTACGCAGGCATGCAGCACTATGCAGGTCTCAAACTTTGCTTTGCACTTCTTCCCTCTCTCCCCTCGTTGCTCCTCACCCTTATTTTTGGGAGGTGAACATCCCCTTGGGGTTGAACCACAGGACTGGGGCTGCGTGCTGTGGCACGGATTAATATGGTGAGCATGGGGTGCCATACCCTGGCGGGAGCTCCGGGGCAGTGATGGTGTCACTGATGCAGAGCACCATCCCCTCGTCACCAGCAACACAGATGTGCTCTCGGCACGGCCCTCCGTGCAAGTTTTGGATGGAGGAAAGTGAGTTTTAATGCCCACGGGGCTGAGGTAACTCTGTGGGGGAGAGCTGGCGGCGGTACCTAGGAGAGGGGGTGAGGTTTGGGCGGTGATGAAGAGCCAGCCCCATGCCAGATCCTGCTGACACGCCAGCCTGCTGGTAGAGACGGCCATGGAGGCACCAAGACATCAAAAATCCTCAGATGTTCATTACGTGGCCAAATCTGATGGCCAAGGAGATGGGTCACAGAGAGAAGGGAGTCAAAGCATCCTGTGGAAGTACGTTGAACCCAGCAGTCATTTAATTAGGAGCACTGACAGCGTTTTTCACATTTTCAACAGAAAATCAAGTTTTGGTCCCTGAATTGTCGTGTTTTTTCAACCAAAAGTGCAGGCTGTCCTCAGTCTTGAGGCCATATTATTGCTGTCACCAATGTCCCTCCCGGGAGAGCTGTTTCTGCATCCCTGGTGTGCTAGGAGGCTGGGGCCATGCCGGCAGGGGTGGGAAGGACAGAGCCAGCAGCCCCGGGAAGGAGAGGCACCTCTATCGAGGGTGGCAGCGGGGAACATCCCTGTCCCCAGCCCTTCCTGGGGCTGGGGTGGACACCGGGGTCTCAGCTCCCCGTTTCTCTCTTCCAGCAGCATATCCCACTGCCTACGCACCCATCAGCCAAGCCTTTCCCCAGCAAGCGCCCATCATCCCGCAGCAGCAGCGAGAAGGTGAGGGGTTGGGGGGGGCACCCCGCTGCAGGGCCGATGGCTCCTCACTCCCCCCAGGGTGTCCCAAGCCTCGCGGCTGATGTGCGGCTGTCCTTTGTGTGTCACCCAGGTCCCGAAGGCTGTAACCTGTTTATTTATCACCTGCCCCAGGAGTTCGGGGATGCAGAGCTCACGCAGATGTTCTTGCCTTTCGGCAATGTCATCTCTGCCAAAGTCTTTGTGGACCGTGCCACCAACCAGAGTAAATGCTTTGGTAAGTCCTGGTGTGCGGCTCTCCCCAACATCTCAGCTCAGGGGTCTGGCTCTTCTCGACATCCCAGCTCTCCCTGGTCTCCAGCTTGGAGGTCCGACTCTCCCTGGTCTCCAGCTTGGAGGTCCGGCTCTCCTTGGTCTCCCAGCTCAGGGTTTCGGCTCTCCCGGATGTCCCAGCTCAGAGGTCTGGCTCTCTCCAACATTTCCACCACTCCTTGACGTCCCAGCTCAGGGGTCTAGCTCTCCCCAGTGTCTTATCTTGGGGTCTGGCTCTCCCCAACTTCCCCAGCTCAGGGGTCTGGCTCTCGCCAGTGTCCCAGCTCAGGGGTCCATCTCCCCAACATCCCAGCTCAGGGGTCCAGCTTGGGCAGCACTGACAGGTGACTGAAGCCACATGGTAGCTGGAGCAACGTGGCTGTCCCAGGGCTGAGGGCAGGTTTTTTTCCCACACTGTACCGGGACAGGACGTACCCTCCTGCTGTCCCCTGTTATGCTGTCCCCCATGTCCTCAGCCTAGTGCTCCTGCCAGTGTGCCTTCCAGGGAGGGCTGGTCGCCGCTTGCCACTGCCATGTCCGCTCTGTTCATGTGGCTGCGTGCCACCAGTGCCACCAGCACGCTCTGGCTTGCAAACCTGTCACCACGGTGTCTCTGTAGCCCATCACCTTGGTGGCGCCACAAATCCCATCACTCTGGTGTCCCCACAGACCCTGTCACCCCGGTGTCTTTGGAGGCCCCATCACCTTGCTGTCTCTGCAGACCCTGTCACTCAGGTGTCCCATGAGGACACACATCCCATCCTGGTGTCCCCACAGACCTGCTCACCTTAGTGTCCCTGCAGACCATTCCAGTGCCCCTCTTATGCTGGTGTCCCCACAGACCCTGTCACCTCAATGTCCCAGCAGACTTTAGTGTCCCCAAAGGTGCCATCAGCCCATCACCCAGTCCCCTGCAGTCTGGGGCTGCGCTGTTACCCCATGATCCCCCTCTCCCAGCACCCCCAACCTGGGGTTCCACCTGAGGCTGCCCGCAGGAGCATCCCACAGGAATTCACCTCGTTGAAGTAAAGCAGCGACCTGTGATGTTTACAGTGACAAACTCATCCCTTGCCCCCAGGTTTCGTCAGTTTTGACAATCCGACGAGCGCTCAGGCAGCCATTCAGGCCATGAACGGCTTCCAGATCGGCATGAAGAGGCTAAAAGTCCAGCTAAAGCGGCCGAAAGATGCCAACAGACCCTACTGACCCCTGCTCACCCTGGCCCTGTGGAGAGGTACGGGGGGACAGGGGTGTCTGGCCCTACTACACTCCCCTGCGATGCCCCAGGGGACCTGGTGGTGGGGCTCAGCTCACCTGACGCATCACGGGTGCTGTGTTTTCTCCAAAAATGTTCTCAAGTGTGTGCGGGGGTTTCTGCACCTGGGACCGTCTCTGTGTGTTTTTCAAACTGGGATTTCGGTCCTTGCCTCCATCCCCCTCTCTGTCCTTCCCTCCATCCCTCTCTCCATCATTCCTTCCATCCCTCTCTCCATCATTCCTTCCCTCCATCCTCCAGGACACGGGCTAACGGCCCCTTCGCTGTTTCGCAGGTTGGGTGTCCCGTGGTGTCTGACGACTTTCCCCTTCCCCAAGTGCAGTATCCAAACCCGTAACTCTCTTTCTTTGCAACACATCCCGGAGGAGGAAGAAGAGGAGGAAGAGGAAGAAGAAGAGGAGGAGGTGATGGAGAAAATGGCGAAGAAGAGAGCCATTCTGGTTGTAGCTTTTCTTTTTTGATTTTTTTTTTCCCAAACCGGTCTTGTTTGTTACTTAACGGGAATGAGAGAGTGAGGAAGACAAGGAAGGAGGAGAGCGACGCGGCACCGGGGCTGAGATTCGCTGCCGGCCACTTGCTGGGACTCACTGAATCCCTCACCGGGAGAATGGACGATGGCCCCGCGCAGCCGGGGTACGATCTACCTTCGTGTTTGTTTTTTTTTAAAGCACTCATTTGCTGCTACCGATTTCCCAGGAGAAACGAGGAAAAGAGGCTCCAAATGGATTCTTAAACCAAAGCCGGTGGGACGGGACCAGCCTCGGGCGCTTCACCTGGAGGATGCTTGTTTGGAAAAAAGGAAAATGGCAAGATTTTCTTTTCCCCACGTCGGGAAGAAAAAAAAAAGGATCAAAGGATGTTGGACTTACAGAAGATATATATAAATAAGTATATATATATATATATCCCATGGAGCAGGGCAGCGGGACACACGCTTCCCCCTGCTTGTCACTGGCACAGGGACATAGGATTACTTGTTTCAGAGTCATATCATTCCTTAGAGTTTAGGGACCAAAGGACTATTGCTTTTTTTAAATATATCTATAAATAAATTAATTTAAAAAAAAACAAAACACAAAAAAACAAAAAATGGGAAAGAAGAAGAAAAAAACCCAGGAATTAAGAAGGTTGAGCAAAACCTCGGGCATAAGAGCTACGAGCTTTTTCCTAGAGGGCTCGGTTTTGGGGGGCCGATTCACGGGGCTCAAGGGCTCAGTTTTGGGGGGCCAGTTTGTGGCCGAGGATGGGGGGATGCAGAGCGGTTTTTTGGGGGGCTGCGGTCTTGCGGGGGTTGCCCCGGCCTTGTGGCACAGGCAGGAGCCGGCGGCAGGGGAGTCAAGCTGGTCGAAAGAGCCCCTCGGTCGCCTCCGGGAGAGGGCGAAGCGATGCGGTTCTTTGCGTTTTCAGTTGGTTTGTGGGGATTTTGGGGTGGTTTTTTTTCAGCCAAAAAAAAAAAAAAAGAACAATGTGAGGTTTCAGCAGAAACGAAGCGAAGTGAAATAAACTTATTTTGTCAAAATCGTCACCTTGTTTGGTTCTTTGGAGCAATCGCTGCCGCGTCCCACCACCCAAATTCCCCCAAGAAGACAACGCTGGGGACCCCTTTTTGACCAGCTCAACTCCGGCCAGACTGAAGCATCCGCTGGGATTTTGGGAAAGCCAGGAAAGGAACGTGGGCCTCTCTTTTTATTTGCTTTTTTTTTTCCCAGAAATTACCATTTTCCAGAAGAATTCACGCTGGCTGCGCGGGAGACTGAGGCAGGACCCGGCCCCTGCGGTTTTGCTGTTCTCTGAGTGATGGGGGAGCTTGTGGAGGATGTTGGCATGTCCCATGGGATGTCTCCTTGCAGCAGACAAGTGCCTGCAGTGATCATGGGAAAGTGCCTTGATTTATTTTCTTATTTGAGGAGGGAGGAACTCCAAACTCACAAATTCAAGCAAAAAAATGGGGTGGCCGGCAGGGCGAGTGGCAAGGGGACAGCCACCACTCTGGTGTCCCCCCTGCCTGAGCTTGCGTGGCCTTTGGGAACAGTGAGCAGCTGGTGCGGGATAAGTAGGGGGGGACAGATGTTGTATCCCTCTGTCACCTGCCCACAGAGGTGGCGCAGAGTGTGCCCACCTGTGTGATAAGCCTGGCAGGTCTCAGCCAGTGGCTGTACCTAAACCAGGGTTATTTCTTAAGTCGATTCTTTATTTTCTTTATAAATCCCAGTGGGGTTTTGTAAGTCTCCAGTGGGGTGGTGAAGGGCTAGTTTGGGGTATTTATTATTATTTTTAATCCCTTGGACCCTTGACCCCCTGGCAAGGGAGCCCTGTGTCCCTGCGGGACTGGCTGG